GTGCTTCCCAAATCCCACCAGCCCCCCCTCCCTCATAAAAAATGAACGGTCCCTTAAAAGTTAACAGAACTCTGAAGTATATTTTTATATTTTGTGAAGATGTTTTTCACTGCTTTTGTTTTGTGTAGTTTGAAGTTATTCTAACTCAAAACTGAATGACAAACGATATAATCGGAAAACCTTACCGCATAGTTGCGTTCGGAGAACGCTCACTAACCTCGCGTGGAGTCCTCGTCTATTTTGTCTTGAAACTTCTTGAAGCTCGTCGACATTGCAAGCGTAGCGAAATATTAATCCGGCGCATGCGCTTTGCTCTCTGCCCTGCTAATCCCCCTGTTCTGCAGGCTAGCGCGTGGGATACACGCGGTAAAATGCAACGGGGTGGGGCGTCGCTTTCCCCGGCTCGAAGAAATAAAATCTCGCAGGAGAAAAAAAAAACGTCTGTGTACAGACCATTTGAGCGCGTGACCAAAAAGCTTGGCGTGTTATGAAAGATGAGAAGAAGAGAAGATGAGAGAAGAGAGCAAGACAGCAAAGCAGACTGTCAAAGTTGACAGAAAGTTTACGAAGGAATCCTCCAGAAGTTAGAGTAACACGTGGACAAAAACCTTGTATGAAAACTTCTGTTCGACTGTTTTAAATATCTTCTTGAAAAAAAATCATTTCTAACATCACCAAATGATCAAAAACAAATTTTGAACTTCGTATGAAACACTTGAAAGAACTGGTGAAATGAAACTGATGATGAAATTTTACCTGTGTTTACACAATTTCTCTGAACTTTGTTTGAAATTTATTCTCTCGAGTTCCCATGGAAAATTGAATTCCGGGGTTATTTCGGCCAACTATTTGTATCTTTAGCTCTCTAAAAAAATGTAAAAAGGACTGTAAAATACCTAAGATTATTCTAGTACAAGATTTTTGTCCGCTTAATTGTTCGATTTCCAATCGGATTTCGTCTAAACTTTATTATTGTAAAATACAATTTCTTCTGCCCGAATACGCTGCAAGCGGGCGGAAGTCGCTGTTTACAGTGCCGTTGTCGATTTCGCTTTTCACTTTGTCGCTGTCGTAATTTCGCGATCGCGTGAGCGGTCTCGTTGATAGTGACGTCACTTCAGTTCTTCAGAGCAGTGTCTTGCCCAAACAAGGCACTCTTTGTTTCCAACATCACTGCAGTGAACAAGAAAAGTAACCTTGAAAGCCATTTCCTCGAGGATATTGTGTTCGATTGTAACTGCCGTTTTCAAAGTCACTATTGGCTTGCTTGTGAATAAAGGCAGAGACAAGACAGTGGAGAGGCTGAGAGAAGGTGATGTAACAGATCAAAGATTTCGTAGCTTGATCGTCCGTGAACTAGACGATGTCAAGTCAAAGTTGGATGGAATATCAAGGAAAGATCTGTTAGCAAGTGTCAGCTTCTTTGAGGAAGGAATCGAGCTGCTGTATGAAGTGTTTGATAAGGCAAGGTCGAGAAGTGAGAACGGCGAGGTATCTGTACAAGCCGCCTGTGCTGAAGTGTTTGCTCTCGCTGAAGAAATGCGAAACGTGGAGCTCACCGTTCTGGATGAATCAGCTACGAGGGCGCTTGCCAACGCAAAGAAGAGTTTCAAGGAAGCTCGCAGGGAAGCGACAAGGGCTTTTAAAAATGAAGCCCTAACGACGTCTGACCGCATCCTGGCAATGGAATATCGAGTTATGCATCAGTCAATTCCAGCAGTGCCCATCCCCCCCCCCCCCCCCCC